ACGTTTTTTCTAAAATTCGGGGTTCGGTTGGAAAATCCAAACTTTTTTAATATTTTTTTTGAATATCTCTGGTAAATATTGCCAGATTTTGAAATGTTATACCTTTTTGAATTCGTAGGGATCCCTGCTATCAACTGGCAACATTTCAAAAATCGATGGGTTAAAAAAAATGGTTGTCCAAAAACCGATTTGTTTGTAGAGTCTTCCTTTTTGGACGATTAGTTGGAATATCTCGGCCAAATAATGTCCGATTTGGGAATTTTATACCATTTTGGACTCGTAAGGATAAGTACTATCGATTGACAAGGGGTTACATCACGTTTTCTCTAAATCGGGTTCGGATGGAAAATAAAAACTTTTTGATGATTTTTTTTGAATATCTCAGGTAAATATTTTTTAACAAAAAGCTTTAAATAACTTCTTATTTTGGAACGCTGTTAACTTTTTTATTGTTCGGGAACACTATTATTGATTTATTCAATTAAAACCATAATCGAGGGATAATATCAAAATGTCGTTTCCGCCATTGACCATCGCGAGGCAATATTGTTTTATAACGACAGAATTTCGACCGGTCATATGACGTTCAGAAATGAAATTATTCCTTGCGGAGATATTTCGCTTTTCAGATCGGCCAAATAACGTCAGCAAAATTATGTCGGTACTCTATACAGATCTAGTATCTTTCCCTAATTGACTTAAGCAACCCCCCCTCCTTCCTCCCTTTCCATTACTAAAAATCAATTGAAACTTGCCTCTAATTTAAACCACAATTTCAATGATATTGCTTTTGTGTATATATGCGAATCTTTTAAAGCACAATAAAATCTACTGCAGACAATTTCACAAAGATTGGTTAAGGAACACTGAAGTTATTAAAGAACACGAGTGTATTGGCAAACCACGTGGCATAAAGTGCAAAGCCCAAGAATTTCTGTATAATGTGCACATATACATGCATATTCGTAATGTCAGCTAAATGTCAGCTAATTAAAAAATAAATATATCTAGATTTTACAAAATACTTTTTGAAATAAGTGAAGGTATTCGTATGTGATGTTTATGACAAGTTTTTTCTTCAATACACAAATGTACGGAAAATGAATATATATCGAAGTTTTTATAATTTCAAAATTACAAAGAATTATCTTTTCTTATTATAGTTAATTGGTTTGAGTTAAAGCAAAGATTGTGTTTTCTGATTATTTTTTTATCTAAATATACCCAAAGTTACATTAGTTTAGTTGAATTACCTTTTAAAATCTTGCAAATGTAATCTCACTAAATTTTTTCCAGCGATTTGAGTACATTTTTAGTTACTCTAAATGAACGGTTCTCATTTTTAGTAAGTTTGTCGGGATTTTTATGTTTCTTCAGCTGTTGTTTGTCAAGTAACACCATTGCTAGTATTAGTTTCTGTCGACATCTTCGATGTCATCTTCTTGCCATTGGGCGAACTAAAAGCTAACCATTTCCACGAAAATCCTCCCAGCGGCAACCAAAACGAACTCAAAGAGGAAGGCAACGGCGACGGTTGCAAACAGTTGATTGGCATGGCAAACAGCGTACGGGCAGCGGCGAGGGGCCCAGTCCACAGTCGACGGTTAGGCCATGCCCATGTCGGACAGTGTAAACATACTTAAGAGAAACGAAAACACGAATTACACCGCTTTTTAACCTGGCCAGACGAGGGCACAGCCATCATGCAATCTAAACAAGACAGCCTAGCTTATCGCAATATGCAAATGCGGTCTTCTATGGGCAAATAGACTGGTACGAGCCGTCAGGCTATAGGTAGGCAGCGTCAGGGGCAATGTAAGGTGAGAAACGAAAGACTTGAAACACAAACTCGAACTTAAACTTGAACTTGGGCAAACACATTGCTCTTTAGTGGATATTCCCGAAGGCAGCATCAGCATCAGCTCGGACATGTAATTGCTGTCGGCCTGCTGCAAAGAATACTTGCATGTCCTTTTTGTTCTCGCTATCTGGGTGCCTGATTGCCTGCCTACTAGGACGAACGCATGTACGTTTCCGTGTGTTTGGTTTATGAGTTTACAACCTCAGCCTAATTGAGGCGGGGAAATTCGCTTAGGCTATCCATAAACTCGAATTGTTTGCCAACACAAGCAGAAAGGATTCATCATAAAACGGCACAAAACGCTCCTACAATACGGTGTGGTAAATATTTAGGGCAAGGTCGCGACAGAATAGATTGAGGTTGAGTTTCCAAGTAAAATCCGCCACGAGACCGAACTCGAGACCAAGCCTTTTCTTCCCAAGAACTGGTATCGTCGGTTTATTAATGAAAATGCGACAGCCTTGTGTTCATTTATAAACATTCAGGAGCTCCGAAATGAGATACGCATTAACTGCATACTCGATTTAACAGATTCAATTTGCTCGGGAATCTTTCAGATTCATTTCGTCTTGCTATCTATGCCTTTAGATGTGATAAGCTTACAGCACTTTTTCCCATTTGATTTCTTTTTATTTAGTTTCATAGTTTGTTGATTCTTCTCATTTACTCGCCTTTATTGCCATGTTGTAGGCCTGTAGCCACAGCCGTGGCTTTGTTTGCCTTTCAGCGCCACAGACTGATCAACATTTTCCCCAATCCCCCAGCCCAACTGTGGCGGTCCATTGACACGCGGCGGTGACTTGAGAAAGAGGAATGCATAGATCGAAACGTTTGACCAGCAGCTGAAAAGGCGCGTGATCTTCAAAAAACACGAACAAGCTATAAATAATTTTAAAAAGAGAAACAATAGCAACACCAATCAGTATCTCATAGAAACAACAGTGTGCAATATAAATTTCTTTCCATCACTCGAAGTCCCTTGCTTAGAACTAATCCTCATTAAACTATTTTTTCGTACTACTTATATTTGTTTAATATTTATGATCAATTTATATAAATTAAATGGATCTACTAAAATAATATGCCTTTTTGCACACAAATATATAATTAATCACTCGCTTAAGCATTAGCTATCGAATTGTATAAAAATGCTAAATCATTGTTAATATATAAATATATATACATGGAATCGTGGCCAACCAACATATTAACAGTTCATAGCTTTCACTTCAAATAGATTTTTTTTAGCTTTACAATACATAACATGTGATCTATGTGAAGAGTTCCCCAGCTTATCTAGTTTATCTCAAAGAATGTGAGTTCGTTACTTGGAAATTGATTTAAATTACATTGAACTGAATTTTAAAAATGTTTACATCGCAGTGAAATGGAATCGAATGCGCCGATTCTGACGGTATGTTAACCCCACCGTTCAGCTCCGCCCTGAATTTTGGCCAATATATACATATACATATGCGCATGTATACTTATATAAATTGACGTTTGCGGTTAAATGTTTACAACTCGAAATTCAGCTGAAAACTTAACAAAAAATAAAGTGTGTAGAGAAAAATGCTATGAACGGCAAACCAGTTTTAGGTACAGGCGAGACGACCCAGGCCAACAACAAACAAGCATCGTGGAAAAAATACAAAGTTTTAATTGGTTGCACAAACAAAAGTACAAAACGAGCGTCTAAACAAATCGAAGTCACTCAGTCGGCGGTCAAAGTAACGAACACTAACTTTAACCGGGCTCTGTGAGTTGGGTGGATGAATATCAGTTTATTTCGTCATTTGTTAAAACACCTTGCACTTAATAACTGGCGCATGTAAAGCTCGCTGAGAGACAAGGCGAGAGACTCTCGATTCTCAGGACTTAACTCAACTCTAGACGGCTGTAGGTCACCCAGCGATCACGATTGAGCAAATCGAACGAGCGCCTGCTCATGCTCATGAATGATTGACAAAATCGGAAACCTGAAATGAGGCTTCTACCTGCTGCCGGCGGGTCCAAAGCGATGGCGGCCTGTAAGATCGAGAGAGAGGTAAGTTGTTATCGTCCGCTTACCTGTTAGAAGGTGTGGCTAAACGAATTGCGATCAGCGGCGTTGGTGATTGATCCCAAGTGCGAGCGAGACCACAATACTTTAGCAGTCGTCGGCAATGGCTAAGAAAGAGTTGAATCAGCCATTGAGCCAAACGTGTAAACAAGATGGCATGGGCGCAACAACTCGGCCAAAGAGAAATAGAGGTAACATCGCACAGCGACTACTAAAAAGCAAGCACGGCTTGTGATGGTTGAAAAAATTAGCACCGACCGTCAATCATTAGCTAGGGAACGGTGGCAACGCAAACAACGCACTCAACGGCGGCCGAAAACTGACGACGGCAACTCGAAAAGTCTAAAAAAAAAATCGGAGCAATCGTTGAGAGCAATTCCACTTCCTTCTGGGACCTGCTTAATCGGTATCGGTGAACTTACAGTGAAGTGTGGACGAATAAAACTTAATCAAAGAAAATAACTAATATAGTGATTGTGTTCGGTGTGTGACTTAGTGCGTGATCCAAAAATCTTAGCAAATTAATTCTCATCTGAATTATCCCAAGGATTACAAGAAGTAGCATCCCCGGTGCGAACCGGAACATACATTTTTGGAATTAAGTAAGTTTTTTTAATAAGCTTAAAAATTTACATTATTTGACTGAAAATATCAAATTTCCTTATTAAAATTAGATGCGCAATTTATATACCTTTCAGATAATAGCTTTAGTTAACTATACCATGAACTTAACCTAGTCTATGCAATCTGCTACTACATATCTATCTAGTTACTATAAAAAAGAATTCAGTCATAAATAAGTTAATGGTAATATGTCAAAAGATATTATTCCTTCGGTTAATTACCAATGTGAGTGAAATATATAGGGACCGGGTATTGAGTGTCAGATATATATATATACTAATTCCTTACTATCTAATATCCGACACTTAATAAATATAGTTTGTCAGTAATTTCTGGCTACCTAAATGGAAGATAAATCAATCAATTGAAAAGATGCAATATTGTAACAAATCAACTACTTGAACATAATGAAATAACTTTATTAAAATTAAGACCGCAAAATGAACTTTTATTCACGACCTTCAAGCTTATAACTATATAAACTGCGTAATACAGCTAAAGTTTTTAATTCGTAGGGGCTGACAAAAAACATTTAGCCAGCCATACTGCGTACAAAAGTCCCAGTAAATATGTAACACTTCATAGCATTCTTAGAGGCAACGTATCGTTTAACACTTTTAAAATAAAATAATAAAAACAAAAGGCTTTTTCCACAAAGCTATTTATATAATGTGTTAAAAGGTTATTAGCGAACCCATTATATGTACCTCTATATGATTACGCCCCAAATAATGCCCCAAATAAATTTAATTTCGAATTTGTTTTATATTTAGGTAGAAAAATAGTTAACCACGGAGTGTCGGTATAATTAAAGCCATTGCAGACATATCAGACATACCAGCGTCCTTTTTGGGTATAGATTTTTAGAAGAAAACCTAATTGACATTTATCTCGGTGTCTCTTTCGCACATGGTTCGTTACAACATTTGTAGCTCTATAAAATTATTGCCCAATGGCATTAGAGATTAAGGGTGCTTTTTTCGATAGGAGATATCTTGTAACGAGATCCGAATTGCCGTGATGCACTTATATTTGCTTCCTAGCTGTCCTATTCCAGTCTAACAAAAAGTCAGATATAACTCTTCCGGTCATAAATAAAACGAGTTATCCTTTGATGTTTATCAAGATTGAAATTATAAATCGTCTGATATGGAATAAAATTGTTTATACAAAAACTCAGTTGCTTATGATATTTTTATCCTCAGATATTGATCTTAAAATGCGATCATCATTAAGATTCCTGTCAAATTTGTCGAGTCCATTTCTAAAACTGTGTTGACAATTTTTCACCTACCGCGGCCAGAAGGTCCTATTACATTATCTGATATCTACATGAGAATATTTGAAGGAAGGTCTTTTAACAATATTGTCGAAAAATTCAGACAAACGGATATGCGAAAGCCCAATATAGTCATTTTACTTTATGAACAGAGTATAAAACGAACCTGTCATTAATATTTCTGACTTATTTTCATAAGCCTGTTAGTTTTATGCTCAAAGCCATATTTATTGTTATTTGACTGTGCTTTTATTGTTTTGGGCGGCAATGCGAATTTCTTTATGCAAATTTTCAATTGACAAGCCTACTTAAATAAACGTGTGAAAATCAAACATTAAGCCAAACACTATTCCAAGCTCCGAAATTCACAAAACACAAAATTTGACACCCAAAACTCATTCAACACTTCCCAAATGAAACCAACAAGTGACAATAACTCATCTTAATGATCCTAATAATAACTCTAATAATATAAAACAGCAGCGCCAGCGGCCCACGCGACTCTGTTAGGGGCTGGAGGCGCAGCTGTGGACTGGCCAAATGTTCACACGCAAATTAGGAGGGACATAAGAATTTGCTTGTGCCGACACGACCGCAGGCATTTTAATCGGCCCGACAACAACAATAGCAGAAGCCCACACAGGCCAGTTGAGCTATGCTAACCAATTACGAAGCATGTGAAAATTATCCTATTAAATACAAATCAAAAGAACCAAGGAAATTCCACCCCCGCTATGGTTGTTGTCGGGCCACGTTCCCCGTTCCCCAAGCCCCAACCCCGTACCCGTGGTGTTCAGCTTCCGAGTTTAGTACTTGACAAATGCTTACTAATTAATTACAGTTTGTACAATATTTTAGTATGCGTCTCATAAAGTGCGTTTATCAACGTTGTTGCCCAAGCGAAAAGTGTGCAGAAAACAAAAGTGTGATAATATCTTTAACAGCCACGCCCACCCAACTTTAAAAGGAATTGACCTAGTGATTCTCTCGCCTTAAGCCGGGCGACCACCTGCATGTGACGTTGCAAAGTGGACCTGCTATACAGCCAGAGGCTAAATTAAAATTTTGGTTTATTTTTCTGTAAAATGAAGTGTGAAATTTAGCGAATCCGTTTAATCGCAACCGATAAGCGCCAAATGGGTGCAACTGCCACTGTTCATGCCACCCGTCAGCAGCGTTGGGTCTGAGGGTATCCTTAACAGGTGCAAGGTGCAACTTGTTAAACATATCAAAGTTATCTTCGAGGTGTCATGGACTAATTGTCCTGGCAAACAAATGTCAGATGATATCAGATGCACGTTGTGTTTCTTTACTTGTCCAACAATTCATATTCGAAATGTTTTTGCGCAAAATAATTTTTTAAGCCAATAATCCTTTATTATTGTTCAGTATGTTGAAAGGATTTTGTTGAAATTTTAGGAGCATGAGTTTCGTTTGAAATATCGATCAAAACAAAATAGTAAAAACTCTGTGATTTAGACATTGTCTGCAGCAAAAAGAAGAATCTTTTTAAGGTTTAGAGGCAGCTTTACAACTGGATGACAAATTAAAGAAGCAGACAGATGGGCAGACAGAAAAGCTTGGCCATATTAATTTCAAGGAGATAAGTACAGCTTGCAGAATGGTTTTAATCCATAATACCACAAAAGTTTCCATACATTAATGAAATATTTATAGATACAAAAAAAATATGCAAGTAGCGATTTCTTGAAGCTAAATTCAAAAAATACCTTAGCATAGATGTAAAGCTCATCTACGAGCATTTGAATCTACAAAGCATCTACAAATATGTTTTAAATGGCAAAATAAAATTTGTACCAAAAATATTTGAACATAAATAATTACTAACACGCAGATTCAAGCCTTTTGCTATGAGTAGAGGATGTATACATTTACACTTGCATGTGTGTGTGTATGTATGTATGTATGTATGTGCAGAGGGTATACGAAATGGTCTGAGTAAACATCAAAGTCACGAAATCATTCAAAAATCAACATCGCAAAGTAGATGGAGAAAAAGTCCAACCAAAAGCGTCATGGCAGCCATCAAATGGTAAAGTTAAAGTACATAGACAAACACACACAGTCGCACACACAAACACACACGCCCAAACACATACAGGAACACACATATTGTCGTTCACAGACACGTGTTCAGACAGTGTACAAAAACGGCTTTTCATTAGGCCCTGAGTTGGAACGGTGCGAACTGATGTGGAATACAACCCAAATCTCGTACATATGTATGTATGCTAGCCATATATATACTAGGGGCTAAACACAAATGCATTAAACAACTATTAATATTAAATTAAATGTTTTAAAATTAAGTGTGGTTAAATTTAAACCAGTGAAATAACGTTGAGCACTCTAGAGCTTATTTACAATTTAACATTGGTGTGGCGAAATCTCTGTTGGAAAAATCTGCTAAGTATATTACAATCTGAAAAACCTCTCATAACATGACACCCCCTATATCATTAGCTGATTTAAAAACATTTTTGGATATTCCTTCGATTGGGCCACATTTTAGGCCAATGAAGGTCGTAGACAATTAAAAATAAATAAATAAAGCATAATAAATCAAAATCAACCTGAATGAAAAACAGTTAAGTCAAGCCAGTTTGGGATAAGATTGAGAAACAATGCATTCCTAGCCAAACCCCAAAAAAATATATTCCAAAGATCTGAAGTTGGCCCATAAATCCTAAATCCTAAATCCTAGCTAAGGCATTGGGGTTGGAGTTCAGCTGCTGCCAGTTGCCCCAACGTCGGCATTCCACCTCCAATTTCGTAGCTCAATAAAAACAAACAAAACAATTAATACATTTTGTTAATTTATGATTACAAAACATTGCGAGAAACACTTTCAGTGCCAGGCCAGAATTTAGACATCACCAAGCAGATTTTAAGCGCATTTCTTTTTTTTGCCGCCGCGTTTACAATCCGAGTACTGTCCCGGGCCTTAGCCATACGAACGGAATAGGCAGCGGCTCTGGCTGCGGAGCCGGAGTAAACAGAGGTGTTTGTTACTGTTGCCACGGCCATAAATAAAAAGGGTGCCCGCTGTTTATGGCCAAACAGCATCCACGTCTGCGTCCGAGGTTCGAGCTCCGAGACCTGAGCATGAGTCGGAGTCTGAGTTTGAGTTTGAATTGGAGTCTCAGACCTGGGCAAGGCATAGCTAAAGTGTGCAATATAATTAAAAGCCGACAACAGACATGGCCCGGTCATTCTTCTGATGCGCCCGGGACAGTGCTGTAAATGTATAAAGTGCTGGGATGAGCCGTCGGTCGGGCAGGCCAACTGTCTTTGATGTAATTCCAATGACACAGCGTCAACAATCGAATAGCTCAGATTCTAAAGTTAAATTTTGAGTAACTGCTTCGAGTGCAATCCACAATATTAATATACCAATAACTGTCCACAATATTGTTAGATAAATCGTCTTTCTGATTATAATAATAACCGGTCAAACGACAGCAAAAGATTATTATGCTAGTACAGCTCGACAACATAAACATAATCGTATCAAAATAAATTTCAAATTGAAATATCTTTCACGAAGCTTCGTTTCATCTGCAAAAAATAATTAATTATAAAAAAACAATAATAAACGTATACAAATATAATGTTAAATATATTTGTATCTAGGTAATCTGATTTTAATTATAATTGGTCAAACTACTTAGCTGCATAAAACTCTGCTCTTTATTCAACTTGCTAATATAACTATAAATTAAACAAAATCATATTTGAAAAAGTTTTTTTTTCTGAAAAAAATGCAAAAAAACGCAAATAGTTAATTATTTTTATCAAGGTAATCTGATTTTAATTATAAGCGGTTAAACAATTTAGCTGCAAACAAAAAAAACTTCAGCTTTCAGATTGAAGGAAGCATTTTTCTCAAAAAAACGTAAAATAAATTTGCAATTTAAATATTTGTATGAATTGTCTTTTAAGAAAATTTAAATTTAAATTACGTATAAAAAAATAATACAAACTCATTTGTATAGGTAACAAAACATTCTTTAAAAAATCAACTGCGTAACAATTGCTTTAAAAATATATCCTAGACATGTGTCTTTTTCCAATAGTATTATAATATTGACAAGAAGTGAACAATTTTAAGCTGGTTGAATCGCATTTATATAATTATGGATTGTCATAGTAACTTTCGGATTAAGATTGAGATCTTGAAAATCGTATCACATATATAAAATATACATATAAAATAAATGTTAAAAGCTAAAAACGCAGTATATATAAACTCGGCGCTCCAAAACAACATTCGGTTTCTGTCGATTTTTTAAGGAAATTGACTTTTATGAAGGTTTTTGCTAACTTCCTCTCGTTATCTTTTTGCAGTTGACATGACCACATCGCATATCCTGTCCGCCGTGGATCCCACAACCGGCCTTAATGGAAATGTGGCGGCCGGTGGTAACGGTGGCGCTGGCGCTGGCGGCGACTCCCCCTCTCCACATCACGCAGCCCACAATGGACATGGGCACGGACATGGAATGGGTGTTGTCGGTGGTGCTGTTGCGTTGGGCTCAGCGGGTGGAGGCGGTGGTCATCGCATTGTCGGTGGCGCTGGCAGCCCCAATGAACTGGATCGCAATCTGCGCGTCTCGCTTGATGACCGAGAGCTGTGGCTACGCTTTCAGAATCTTACCAACGAGATGATCGTCACCAAGAATGGCAGGTGAGTTGAGATCTTACCTATTGCGCGGCCCTTCTTCTGGCAGTGCAACGTGTTAAATGGAAGTTAACGTGGCCAGCAGCGTCGACTTTGGTTTTGCGGTGCATTTTGTTTTCCTATGCAAATTGGCAATGAGTTTTTTGCGCATTTGTTTTTGCTGCAATGATTTTTCATGTGGGGCTGTTTGCACCTTATAATGAAGCGTTAACGTTTCTATAGCTCCGCTTATACAAATGCACATACATTAATACACACACACACACACACGCATATACAATATGTACATACATTTGTTTATAAGTATTTATTTACATGCGAGCGTTCGTGAAAATAACTAAAAAATATTTACCAATGTACTAGAGCATGTATATATTTATATAAACTAAACATATATATATATATATATAAGTATATAAATATATATAAGTGTGTCTGTGTCTGTGTCTGTTCGTATGCAAAACGCGCTTAGAACTTGGACTCAACCGCCCCGGTCTCTGGTCTCCGGTCCCGGACAGGTGCTAATTAACGCGGCCCGGCAACAGCCGCCATCTTGTACTAATTGTTGTGGAACAGTGCGCGGATGGCGCGTTTCAATATTTGTCCGAAACTGACACCGGCACCGACGACACAGAGGCCGACGGGGCGTTGAAGCCAGAGATGCAAGCCCATCCAAATGGCAGCAGTACAGGTATCCATAGAGCCACGCAGCAACGGCGAAATGATGAAATGAAAACTCTCTGGCATTCAGCTGTCTATTTGTCGAATAGAATATTCATTGCGTACAAATGCAATATAACTGTGTGTGTAGCGCACCCATTTTAATTGCGATCCTCTACATTGTTTTGCAGGAGAATGTTTCCGGTTGTGAAAATCAGCGCCTCCGGCTTGGATCCGGCTGCCATGTATACGGTTCTACTGGAATTCGTGCAGGTCGACACCCATCGCTGGAAGTACGTCAACGGCGAATGGGTATGTGCATGAAACTAGTATTTGGAAAACATCTAAGCAAAACAGAACGCCTTTAAGCTAGGCAGCTCGTTTATAAAGTAATAAGTGCCTTGATAATAATTACTACATAATTATATAAAGTCCGCAGGCATGGCCCTCCCGTGTGCCTGGCCCATTGTGTTTTTCTTTTCGCTTTTCCAGCCAGGTCTCGCCCGCGGTAAAATTAAAAGTTACATTAAGCCTCCTTTTTAAAATGAGCTTGATGTCGATGGCAGCAAAACAAAAGGCTTTCATCTATTTTTTTTTGTCCTTTACAAAATCAGTGGGACACGCACCAATTAACTTGCGGTGAAGATTTTATAAAATAATTATAAAGTTTAATGCAACAGTTTTCTGTGAATATTCCTTGTTGTGTAATCTAGATTAATTGAGCAATTTTAAGCCAATGGGATACACATATAATATTTTTCACCCACACAACCGCCATTTGCACTTACGGATTAGGCTGTGCGTTAATCACCAATAATTTATTAGGGACAAACAGCTTACGCGACTGAAGAAGTTATTCAATCATGTAGAGTCAATAATATCACAAGTGTTGCGTTTCTATTTGATTACTGGTCAATCGTGCCATTTACCTAGATATACACATTATATATTCGACTCTATTCAACTTCCTGATTTTTATCAACATTTATTTAAACAACATTCTGTTTTTGTTTCTAACAGGTGCCCGGTGGAAAGGCTGAGGTACCACCCTCGAATCCCATATATGTACATCCCGAGTCACCTAATTTCGGAGCCCATTGGATGAAGGAGCCGATTTCATTTGCCAAAGTCAAGTTGACAAACAAAACCAACGGCAACGGACAGGTCAGTCAGAAACACAGTTTTTGGACTTCGTAATGCCTTACTCTATGTAACTACTTTTGTTACAGATAATGCTGAACTCATTGCACAAGTACGAGCCCCGGGTGCACCTGGTTCGCGTGGGCTCTGAGCAGCGTCACGTGGTCACCTACCCGTTTCCAGAGACTCAGTTCATTGCGGTGACTGCATACCAAAACGAGGAGGTCACTTCACTAAAAATCAAGTACAATCCGTTCGCGAAGGCCTTTCTAGATGCTAAGGAGCGTCCAGACACGCTCTATCCTCACGACACCCACTACGGATGGCTAATACCTCCGCCCACCCACTACGCCAGTGCTGCTGCAGTTCAAGCACCGCCACCACCGCTGCCCATGGCACAGACGCATGCCCTAGTGGCAACTTCTTCAGCCGCCTCCTCGGCTTCCGTGTCGGCCAGCTGCGATCGCTATGGTCGCGCTCTACCCACACGCAGCTCAGCGCCTAATCGTACGACGCCCTACAGCAGGCCTCGCGTTGTCTCGGGCTCCGGTTCCAATGGCAGCGCGGGCAATGCCTCCTCTTCCTCGCCGCAGCCTCCGTCTGCGCCTCAGACACCAACCAGTCTGCAATCGTCAATCGGCTCGGTCAGCACCAGCACCGGAACAAACACAAGCGCCAGTGTAGGCAGCAGTGGTGCCAGTGGCTGCTTCACCAGTTCCTACTCGCAGTCGGGCTTTGTGCCAGTGGAAGCTAGCTCAACGGCATCGGTGTTCTCATATCCTAGTAGCTGGCAGGGCAACAGCAATTACTGGAGTCCAACGAGTGTGCCCGGTCCCATGCCCATGAACGTGTGCAGCAGCCGCAACATATGTATGTGTTTCGCATTCAAATCGATATTACCTTCATCACTTATATCGTTAATCATTGCCATTTTAGCAACGCATAATTCACCCTCGCCCACGAATGGTTCGCCGAGCTACACGACGCCATCGCCAGGCTATACCATACACCACCTGACGCCGCATAGTCACCAGTACAACATGGCCCAGACGGATCTCTATGCGAGTGGAGCGGCTTCCTCGAGCTCGCCGCAAACCTATGGAGCACCCACACACCAGGTGTATCATCCGACGCCAACCTCTCCCACCCACCAGCTGTACACGAACGTGCTGAACGCACCCTCTGCGCTGAGCTATCCGGCTAGCGGCTGGCACAACAGCTCCGGCGCCGAGTACGGGCTCTACCAAAATGCGGCTGCGGCCTATTACCAGCCGGAGTATATACCACTAGAGATAGGGTAAGTGATTGGGCAGCCAGTTGAACCGCGAACTCTACACCTATATCGCTAAAGTAGCTATCAATGATTCCACTCTCGAATCGCGATATATGTTATAGCTATGCCACCCATCCGCTGGAGCCCGTGGACGTTACGAAGACGCTTGATGAATCACAGTCCGCCATGTACAAGCCAACCGAAGAGCAGAGCTCCGTCATCACTCTGGAGTGCGCCAGTGCCAGTGCCAGTCTGAAGACCGCCCACAATCACAACGACATCAAGCTAGAATCCCTAGAGCACAACATGGATCGGAACGCAGTTCCAACCGCAACTGTGCCCAGCGCTGTGCCTACGGGAATGCCCACATCCGTGGTCACCGCTGTTAGTGCTGACACTTGGACACCGCTTACACCACCTCAAAGCACTCTGCAGTGATGGTCAGCTAGTTAAAAGAACAAAAAAAACAAATTAACAATACATACAGCCATCGCACCGCCCCAGCCTTTAGACGCATGTCTCCTAAGTTAATTGGATGAATCGAATAATTGAGTTAAATTTTAAGACCTTCACTAGTACCACAGCATGCAAAGTACACTGTAGCAAATATTTTCCTAAACTATTATATATATATATACCTACATACTTATAACATGACTTTCTATAAAGTTTCTATTGTATTACATTAAAATATGCCTGCTATTATCAAAGTCTATAATTAAATGCAAACACATCATCTAGAATTCGTTAAATAAACGTCGAATTTCCATACGATCCATTGAATGTTGTTTGAAGAAACTAGACTTAAGCGGAAAAACGGCGGAATTACTTATTTGTTTACTATCCGATCAGATTGAATGGAAGTGCGGGGATTATCATGGATTATCAATGGAAGTGCGGGGATCACAACATGGGATTAAAATGGATAAAAAGGGTTGATTGCAATTTTTATTTCTTAATTCGATGGATTTCAAACTCATTTTGACATTTGTATGTAGAATTAATTTAAGTAGTCACGTCAAGTCAAATTACTTGGACCGAGCAAGACGGGGAAATGCCAGCCATGATGAGAAATGAGAGATTATAAATACTATGATGATGAAAACAGATATTTTTTTGGGTGAGCACGTTGGTCCTTCTTGCGAACAATGCCCTTAAGCGCGTTGGTATTAATTTTCGTTACGAAACCAAAGCAGAAATAAAGTTTGCCCCTAGTTAATTAAACTAAACGAATTGCTTAAATCAAAGGAGCGTTCAATTTTCCACAGAACTTGTTCGCAACTACTTTGGGGCACTCACGTTGAAACAATAGAGCCATCAAACGCATTGAGACCTGCATGGGAGCAGCCACAGAATGTTATCCGGGCAGCAATCTGCTAGCCTGAGTACCAGAAATCCATGAAGCCATGAACACAAAATGCACCACAAAGAGACGTGATAATAATGAGTTGAATTGCATGCACATACACACGGTATTGTAAACAGGGCACTAGAAAGTTGAAAGTTGAAAGTAACGTCCACTGAATGTGCCACCATTACAAATGCTCCAGCTGTCAGTGAATAGCTGGACGCACCAGCACACCAGCACACCAACACACCAACACCCCCACTGTTGCCCAGTTACTGGAGTGCAATTAAAAATACATGCCAGCATCATTTACGAAGGAATGCGCCTCGGAAAGGCGTAACAGTACGCCTGTTAATGGGAGAGCTGTGAGCACGAGAATGGCCATGGGCAGCAACAGCTGGTGTAAGCACTTACCTGGTAGTCCATTGAATTACCGTAGCCCATGTGGTTGCAGGAGCATGAGCAATGCTTGATATGATGTTCCAGCTCATCTTCAATGGTGGCGCCGGCTAGCGTCGCCTTATGCCCATAGCAGGCAACGGTCAAATCCTGATGATATTTGACTTGCTTACGTCCCAATCCGTGCTCCCAATCGCCTTCACGTTCCCGTGGCAGATAACGAGCTTCGGTTGTTTGACTCTCAGCCAGCTGATTTGTGGCGGCTGTCATGCCCATCATGGCCAGCGGCTGACCAATAATCTGTTGCTGTTGTTGCTGTTGCTGTTGCTGATAGTCAACAGCACAATCCCCCGTGGCGGCCGCCTCCAGGGAAGTGGACTTTAAAATACGCTTGCCGCCTGTGGATTGCATTGGCCGATTGCGGTTGGGACTCGGGCCAGGACTGCGGCTCTCTTGCGCTGTTAATGTTAAGCTGCCGCCACATAAGAGCGAGTGCGAGTCAAAGCTTTTGGGCCTGTGAAAAGCTTCGTAAGCAACAGTTTCGGCATTGACATCGTCCTCGCCAACGCCGTGGGCCTGATAGCGCCTGCCTGGCCCACCAGTTGCTGCTGCTGCCGCTGCTGAGGCAGTCACAGTCACAGCCGAGCTGGCTGCGGTTAACATTAGGCTCAGACGCAGCAGCTCATTGGAGTCCGCTGGCGGCAACGGCACACTGCACGAGCCCGTCTCTGTGGCGCTGTCGGCTGCTTCAGATTCAAGTGTCTCCACATTAGGTTCGTCCGAGTTGTTGGACTCCAGTTCGCTCGGCTGCTGTTCTTGTTGCTGCAGTCTCGCGCGCTGGCCAATAATTGAGGCGGCCGTAGAGTTGGCGCCGTACTTCCAATATGTTTTGTTGGTGCCCATTATGCGCTGCAACTGCGGCGGCGTCGACGCCTGTGTTGCATGACTCTGACGCTTCTGACGCTCCAACTGTTGCAGCGTCTTGAAGGTTTTACGTACCGGTTGCGTGTGATGCAGCGTGGCACAACGCCGCATTGGCGGTGGAGTATACACGGGTGAGACACTGTAGCTGTGAGAGTGGCGGGATGGTGACAGCGATCCGCTGGATTTGGCGCCCACAAGACGTGCCTTGAGTTTCTTGCCAAACCCCACACCGACACCGCCGCCGATGCCGCCACCAGCTCGTGGTGACAAGGAGTGCGCTGAAAGGGAGAGCGCGCGGGAACATTTTAAACGGGCGCTGCCGGCCACACTGCCTGGCGATTGACGCTTGGTGGCTATCAACTGGCATTCATCGATGGTGGGCAACTTGAGCAGATGTGGATGCAGTTGCGCATAAGTCAGGGCAGGCTTAGCATTGGCATTGGCCAAGCTAACGCTGCCGTTTTCGGCACCACCTGTTGGAAGGGGCGCCTCAAAAAGATTCCTCTGGCTGAGCGCCAGAAACTCCTTTTGCTCCTCTTCCTCGAGCGCTTTCAGCGCACACAGATCCCATTCGCCAGATGTCATTTCCTCCTAAGGACTATCCTTAATTTCGCAATTTAACACTCACATCTCTAGGCACGCGTCTGCCGAGCGTGTCACAAACTTCATAACCGTCAGCACACGGGGCTATTGGCGCACTGAACACTGGCAGCACACAGCACCGTTACTTTATAACGGCCACGCGAGCAACAAATGCCTTCCACAACGTGGAACGTAAGTGACCTAGCTTAACATTTGCGTCAGTGGGTCGCTCTGTTAATGGACAGCACTGAGAATATCTCCGAATGTGGGTGCTTCCTTCCTTAAGATTGCTGGCGAACAACAATTAAGAGTGCCCCAGCCGAGAGTGTCCGACTGAGAGATACCCTGTACCCAACTATATAACACATCTGCATTACTCATACGACGCTGCAGTCTTTTAACTTACTTCGTTTCGTACTAAGGCAATTATTTATACTTTGTCGATTAAGAGTGCCCAAGCCGCGAGTGCTCGACTAGAAGATACCCTGTACCCTAATCTGTAATACACCTACATTCTTTGTAGCTACATATATACGCGACAGTCCTTTCTCCGTTCTGTGTACAGGATTCTCACATCTCTTAAGCCCGGTTTTGGTTTAAGCCTTGGTTAGTCAAATTTCCTGCTATTTTCAAAGTATTTAATTCATTATAAATAAAATTAATAAAATTTACATATTTTTTATTGACATCTATGAGCTTTTCTTATTTCATTTTCGTATCTGCTACAATCTATCGTTAGCCCAATGTCAAAAGCTTAATAGTTGTGCAATAAAATTTTCAAATTGCTACCATTTATCCAACTAATCTGGCTAAAGGTAAATAAAATGTCAATTTTCAGGCAAAGACCAGTGCAGCTTAAGCCCAATTCAAAATAGACTCAATTAAGAATTTTTTTAAATCGAAATTAAGCAATAATTTTTAACATAATCTCCTTCCCAAGCTAAAGAGTTATTTCGAAATGAGTATGTAGTTCGTATTCCTTTCCAGTTGTAAGTGTTAACAATACTGTGACATTGCTAATAGCCGTGTCACAAGGAAAAATGAACGTGCATTTATTTTCGATCCAATTTCGCAGCCAGTAACAAGGCAGCGCTGACATTTTTGAAAACCTCAGCGGTCTTGGCAGTGTCCCCTTTCCACGACATACCGCAGCCGCTCATCATCGAGCTGACAGCAGCGACATCAGTTAACGTAACAATGCGAGGCCATATATTTATATGCACACACACACACACACGCACACACACGTGCATACTCCTTACACATGAACAGGCGAGGACGTTGCACATACTTGCATACTGTGCATACATTCGCAGGAGACCTCATCCTTCATACTTGATGTATGGCCATCACTTCTAAGCTTCTAAGCTGCTCTCACCGAATTGTGTTAATGAAATTCAAGTCCATGTGACAGATATTACAGTCGTGTTAGATGTGCGAGAATGTGCTATAAACCTGAATACAAAATACAATGCACAATGCATACATTTTATGAAACATAGTTCATAGATGGCAACACGGAACACACAAAATGTAATATGTGTTTTTATAATCTGTTCCGTCTGGCTGTCAGTTTATCTCAGCGAATGGCCGGCCAAAATTCAATAGGTCCTTTAGTTGAATACCCTGAGACAGCACTTTTTATGGAAAGCCAATTAGTGGCATCCTTTTACAAACATGACAAATAATTTCTGTCCCCAAAAGTTACAACTATCTATGACTCGTAAGGTCAGAGTCAGAAAGATTACTTTGTGGTTTCAGTCATAGTCATGTCAACAATCAAGAACACTCTTTTTCCACTCATTTTATCGTGAAATATACTGCAGAGTCGATCAGTCTCAGTCAGTTGAAGATTAAATTCTTGTATGTAAAACGTCTTTAATCTTTAAGATATCTTGAGCACTTGAACTTAATATTTATAAGCTTCAGTATGTTTCATTTTAAACGTCGAACTAATTTACCACATAGCTCTATGGGAGAATCAATTTTAAACCAAATTTCTCTATGGAAAATGTTCTGTTTTTCACCGAACCCGGAATTTGCGAGCTTCACTATGGCCCTCACATATATGCCATACCGTAAGCTATATCTTCATTTTACAAGGGCATTTAATCTTCGGCGTGCCGCGTATAACCGTTATATTCTATTCTACATACTTTTGATCTATGTATAACTTTAAGAAACGAATGACTCGCGAACATTCTCAGTTTCCATATTTGATTTATTAACATACTTAAACAAGAGGGAAAGAAAATTCAGCATTTTCCAAAAAATTATGCAACTTAATTTGAGCAAGCCACAAATTTTCGTTGCAATGTACATTGTCACAAGGCTGCTTCTGTTGCCGCTGTAGCTGTCGCTGCCGCCGGCAAGCCATAAATTCAGCAAAACACCCAGCTCAGCCTTCCCACATCCCCTGCTGCACCCCCGATTTTGGTGCACGCTTGTAGGGCTGAGAAACGCCCACACAACTTGGGCAAAGTTTGTGCGGCAGAGCCACAGGCACAGCCGCTGCGCTGGAACTGCCGGATGCCAGAAGTCGGGATCAGAAACAAGCTGCTACTAGGCAAAGCCAAAGTTGCAACAAGCGCCCATCAGTGCCCCCATTCGGGCCTGGGTCATGGGACGGGGTTGGGGTTGAGGTTGAGGTTGAATATGGGGCAGGCGCCTGTTGCGGCGCTGCATATAATTTCATTCATAGGGAAGCTGGAATAAACGAGCCAAAATCGAATCTACTCCGGCGCCGGCATGTGTAACAGTAACAAACCCCATTGCCTGCCTCGCTCCAACTGTTTCCCGTCCTCTGCGTGGCAGCAACAAAAATCAAAGCATACTTTTCGGCGAGGAGCCAAAGTCCGAGCAAACAACAATACAAGCAGAAAGGCAAAAGTTATTGAATTGAAATTCTGCTCGGTTTGAGACAGCAACGTAATGTTTCTGTTATTTGTGCCACATGCTGTTTGTTGTTAGTTTTCTCTTCTTAGACTACTACTTTTGGCTCTTTTCGCTTCACTTATGAACTTCGACGTTACGCTTTGCTATCGGATAGCACAGCACAGATACAAATGTATGTAAGTATGTACTCATGTATATGCCCATGCAGCCAGAACATGGGACGATTATACACTTGTAGACGGCATGCCTGTGCTCAATTAAGAAACTCGTTTTCGCAAGCCGAGACTTTGCTGCTAAAATTCAATTGTATACTAAAAGATTTGACAAAGTGCTCGATTTTAGCTAGACTATTTTGTATTTAAATATATCACAATATTTTTCAGAATTTGCACCTCAGTTTATTTTTTCTCTTCTTTATATACTCCATTTTTTTGTAGGTAGAGCTTATCATAGTAGAGTTTCCTCTATCCTCTAGAAACTTTTTTCCGTCTTACTATTGCAAAAGACGAAAAATAGAAAACATTTTTGTTTTTAAGATTATATAGCTCTCTAGGAAAATTCGGTTCAAAACTGACTGCAAAATAGACTGCTTTCGAAGATATTTTCAACGAACTCAGCATTTCGAGCTTTACTATTCTCACATCTATAAAACTGTAGACAACGGTACTAAGTTTTCGGCATTCCGAATATATCCTTACTTTCTTCTTATTATTATCATTATTACTTATGCTATAGTATAAAGTATAACTAAATAAAGTTTACCTACGCTGATACCTTTTAAGAGGATGATCGGTAATTTGTGTAAATCAAATAATGAAAACTAATTGAAATTAAATTCATGTATAAAAGAATAAATTATTCAAATTGTAATGCAATTAATTATTTCAACTATCAATAAATCATGTTAAATTAATGAATACGCCAATTCCTTACATAAATGACCCGTAGTTTCATTCCAATATTTTATAATCCCTTTACAGATTTAAAACAAGGTTGCACTCGATATGATGATATATAAACAGGAAAATCGTCAACTTTGTGGGCTAGTGTAATACGAAATTCTAAATGATAAGAAACGCCTAGAAGCATGGAAAATCAAACGTTCATATATATTTTGATGTAAACAAATCGAATTGAATTTGTTGATATTGTTTGTAAGCATACTAAAAATGTCGCGCCGTCAGCAGGAAATTCAGCGCATTGAGCGTCAGGTGAGGGCCAAACTACCTTATCGCACCTTTCGCGAGATCACCTTTGATAAGAATGCAATTAAAGCAAGCATTGTGCCACTAAGCTTCATTGAGGCACGTAGGGAGCGCGGTCCGATCTATGAAGCTCTGCAGGCAGAGTTACGGCATGAGGGCTGCCGGATGATGCCTGAGTTTGTGCGCTGCTTGGCCGAGAAGGAGCAGGCGCTGTTTGAGTCGGTCAGCATTCGGGCCAGAATCATTGACGATCGCCCGCTGCTCTACGAGATGATTGATAAACTGAAACGGGCCGAGCTCGCGGTGATCAAGCAAAAATTCAAGGGACTCAAAGAATGCTTCACGCTCTTCTACGAGACTCTGCTGCTGCTCGAGCCGTACCGTGTAACGTATGAGTATGTCCTGAATGCGGTTATGGAGCACATCGTGTCGCTGTGCCACAACATCGAGGGCCAGGAGCGGGACGCCGCCGAAATGGTTGCTCGCATCTACCACACATATGCACAATTTCTGGAACGTACCGGACAGAGAGCCAATGCCATTACCTATCTGAAGACCACCCTTGAGCTGGTCCGTGGACATATGTGGCTAGCCGAGCCGGACAAGGGATCAGCCAGCCCGATTCTGCATGAGCTGGTTGCTCAACAGCTGGCACGCCAACTGCTTATCTATGGGCGCCAGATTGTGCGCCAGCAGCCTGAGGAGGCGGTCGACATGGCCAGGAGGGCAACTGTGCTGATTGCGGAGAGTAAGTTAGAAGTAGCCTCGGTTTTAGGGCACTTTGTAATATATTTCTTTCGCAGTCGGACGGCAAACGAACTTGGACATATTTTGCGATACATTCTTGGAGAGGGCATTCTTCTATATGGAAGGCAACAAATACCATGCCGCTCAGCATTGCCTCGAGCAGATCAGGCCGGAATTAACAGCATGCACCGAGTACAAGTTTGTCAAGCTGAACATTAAGTTCTATCTATATCTGGGACAGTGCGCCGAGAAGTGAGTAATGCGTCGTGACGCAGTGTGAAGCTGCTTGTGACCTCGTCTGCACCTTCTCCATAGCTTCGATAACATGGACAAGTCCATATCCAGCTTCAAGCGAGCTCTGCGTCTTTCGCGCCTGTACGATCACAAGGATCACGAGGCGGAGATACTGCTTAATCTTGGCAAACTGTTCGCCAGGGACACCCAAAAGACAGGAATCGCCAAGAAGTGCTACAATCAAGCCAAGAACATCTACATCGACTTTAACGACACTCACAGCAAGAAGACGGCCGTCTTTTTGATGGGCAAATTAATGGCCGATGAAATCACTCCGCTCTATATGGCCATGTTGAAGGCCTCCAGCTCACGCTATTGTGCCTTCTACAATCTGCGTCAGTGGAAGAATCGCTGCCGTCCGTTCTGGCTGAAGCTAGGTGATGAAATATTAAAACAGGAGTCGAACAATATTTACTGCTTACTTGAGGAGGAGAAAGAGGATCCCAAACACGAACCCGTCTTCGTCGACTTGGACGGCAACACATTCAAAGTCGAGGAAGGTGATATTTGATTCGGCATATTTTACTTTAACTTGTGCGGGGTTAGAGTACAATTCAACTACTAAAAATTGTTTTTGTTTGTTAAGTCCATGCGACATCAGACTAAATATATGGCGCTCAGGGCTGCACTGAAATCTCAATATTTTCACCAGGTGCCAGCCCTTTTTTCAGGTTTCAGTGCAGCCCTCAGCGCAGCTTTAATCCAGTATTATCTCGGCTTTAATGTGTGTCTAATAAAACTCGAAGAACTGCAAGCTTTCATTATATTCATTGAGTTATAGCAAACCAATTTGCTTTGAATATTCCACAACATGGAAAGTATTAATTAATCTTCAAAACTTAAACAATACGCAGCCTTTGCGTTGCCCAGAAGCGACAGCTACAAATTGGTGGCACTAACAATAACGAGGCAGCCACCGCCCACAGCAACGCCCAGCTGTAAGTTGCATTTCGGAACAAGAATTTCCAGTGTGCGGCAGCAAATGTTGCTGATGCATGTGGAAAACGTTTGGCAGCGGGTGGCAGCTTTTGTAAATTGGCAATGTAATGCGAGACGCAATGCAATAAATCCGTAAACAACATGTTGGCGAAAAATTCTTTAAATATTTCCAAAAGGCATATTTGTTATGTCCATACTGGCCATACACACATACATACATATACAACCTATGCATGGGTATGAAATACATTGCATGTACAGTTCCAGTGCAATAAGACAAACTATAATGCAACATACCGTAAAGTTAACATTGAAAGAAAAGGAAGAATGCACAAAAAGAGAGAGGGAGAGGGAGAGGTTGAAAGAAAGAGACGTCGAAAGAGAAAGAAAGAGAGAGAGAGAGCGAGAGGAGGATGAATCTATTAATATAACACATATTCAAGTAGGACAGAAGATCGGGAACTGTACTTGAATTTGTGAGAATCGCGTTGTAAGGCGATATTTAATAATCCCTTACCAGTGGGGAGGTGAGTAAAAAATATAAAGTAAGCTCACTGCGTGTGGTATAAAAAAACAAACAAAGCTTTTATATCCTGTACCCATTCAAACAGCCGCGAGGGCTAAGCAAATGTTTAAAATTTAAAGTTACAAATTTGGGCCAGGCGATGTTGGGTAATACCAGCTTGCATTATATATTTATATAGAATTATAAACCGACAATAATTCGCAGTTAAATAGCCGCAATAGCAACCCTTTCTATTTTGCGACAAAATATTTTTGTGTGTTTTGCCACCCGGCCGAAAAGTTTCTACCGAGCTGTAAAAGTTAGCAAATGAAAATAAATGCCTAAAGTTGCTTAATTAAAATGAAAATAAAAATGAAAACGAAAGGCACCCCACTCGACTTTTTTTTTTGGGGGGGGGGGGGGGGGAGGGTAATTTCGTGTACGTCGAGCAGCGGCAATTAAATGAAGAATGTTCAACGCAGGATTTCAACCTGTTGTGGGTATTTTGTGGCAGGATTGTGATTCATACACATAATCTTATGGAATGTTAATCCCTCCAATCAGGAAAGTTATGTAAGTTACATTTGCAAACGTTGGATTCCTAATTAAAAGTGAATCAAGAGCAGAAAATTAGCCTAAAACTATTAGAAATATTTATGTAAACACGCGGCTCCACACATGGCGCAACACTTAATTTCCTTGTGGTACTCAGCACATTTAAATCAATTTTCATGCTTTGCCCAATAGCGACAAGAAGTTTAGAAAACTTTGTCAATTAAAACTTTATTTCTCAAGGCAAACAGTGAATTTTGGATAGCTTGCGAAATGGCACAATGCAACGGATGAATACGGTTCGGTATTGGAATTATGTCCTTGTTATTATGTCCTATTTGAAATTATGTAAAAAGTATTCTGTTGTCGCATTCAAGATTTGTATTAATTAAATAAAACTATGCTTGGCTACTGTGTTGAAAAGGTTGCAACGAGAGCTTGTAGCCTAATTAAGCAAATTAGACAACACAAACTCTCGACGAAGTGGAGCCTTTTTAGTTTCGACCATTCTGGAGATGGCTTTTGTGTTTTTGTATGCCCTTTCGGGATGCCCTACGTGGAGCGCATTCAATTACAACGCAGCTTGTGCTTGCTGAGCTTGCTCAAAAATTTTAAAGCCCATCAAAATTTAAAAGCTGTAACTAAACTTGGGCAGCGTTGGTAATGTATTAATAGGCTACTCAATAGAGGAGTTCGATAAATAATTAATCTCTGCCTTCTATTTTATTTTTTAATTACAAAAGAGAAACGTGCAATACGCTGATTATCTTCAACTTAGTGACTCGAGTTAACTGCTCCAGTATAAAATGGAAAGTTTCTGTGAGATACCCAGGCATACACCTCGATATCTCCTTTTAGTGGACATATAATAAAGACTATAGATAAAGTTCATAATCCCATGAGTCCCTACATGTTATTCAACTGTAAGTCTTAACTTTTTGTTAGCTTATCAACTGCAATAAAAAATTTAATAAGGCATTAAGAAATCATATGATGTTTCGCACTGACTTGTTTCTGTTAAATACCAGCAAAACATATCCTTAGTTAAGTTTTATATATCTCGCTTGCGTAAAGCTTTAATAAATAAATAATAAATATTATTATAATAAAAGCTGTAAGCTAGTTCATTTAAATTGAAATGCAAACTATAATTTTCATTACAATTAATACCTAATTAAATTTATTTGGATATGTGTTAACTAAACGTGCAAACAAAATCTTCATACGAAATTAAACAAAGTTACCTTTTGACGAGCGGACGCTTTTTTATTTGGCAGGTGGCGGATACAATATGTTTTGTACAAGAACTTTCTTTTTTTTTTTACAAAAACTGGCACTGGCGTGAACAATCCACTTTTGTAGCGCAAAAAATGTTTAAAAAATGTGAAATGAAACATCAGCCATCAAGCGTTCGCGATTTTTAACCCAATTTAATAAGTTTACAAACTTTAAATTTTTTGTTGCCTCCCGAATGTGTTAATCTGAAACGTTTATACAATTTTGTCTGAAAATATGAGTAATCTTTATAAACTGTTTGCAGAATTTATCCAGTGTTACTTATGATATATTTTCAATATTTTTATAAAGCGTAAAATATCGGAACCAAGGGCGTCCGCTTCTGAGAGCTTGAATTGAGTCAGGTGAAGTTAATTTCTATTCTATTCTATCAATAATCGTGGTTTTTAAAAAATCGATATATATTGATTTTTACAAATAGAAAACAAGGTCCAAAGGCCCTAACGCATTATTAAAGTCAAATTTTGGTGAAAGATAAAAAAAAATAAAAATAATAATAAGTATATACTATGTACTTACATCTTGATAGAAGTTGTCTAAGATTGAATGTTAATTTACACTGTAAGAAACTTCCAGGATCTTTGGCACACATACTTAAGAATCTTACTAATGCTTGAATCGTTCTTATTAAAACACCAAAGCGCTTAACAAAAAGTGTTGTGATTAAAAATATTTAATATTCTTTAATAGAAAATAAGTATATATGGGATGAAAATTATCGAGAAAATAGGATCACAGTTAACAGCACTTTTTTGTAATAATCAGAGATATTATATTCTACATTTTGTATTCGGACAAACTACTTTGGGTCACGCTGAGTTTATAATATTGTTTGAGTTTCCTACAAAACTTTTGGCTATATTTGAAATTTAACTTTAATTGAAGTCTGAATATTAAAACATATTTAAGAGATTTATATTATAATAATTTAAATTGCAAACAGTTAAAAAACCTTTTTTTAAGAAAATAATTATTTAAATGAAAGTGTGGGGATTAGATCAAAATGTGATTGATCAAAATGTGTATTATTAGAGATGCGATATCGAAGATAGATATCTGGAAAAACATCATCAATATACTCAGTAGAAGCCGTAGCCGAGGCTACTTCCGTCGAGAAGTCCCCTCCAGACGTTTATCTTATCAAAAAGTCGAGTCTTGGCATCTTAAAGAGTCCGGAGGGGGAAGACCCTAAGGCCCATCGATCCATGTGAATTGGTTCTCAGATATGAAATATTTATGTTTAAATGTTTAGGTGCATAACTTAACCAACTGATTATTGTTGCCTATTTGCCGTGGCTGGCATGATCTTAAAGTAGCCGTCTACCAAATAAATTCTGGGTTCACCCGGCCCACTGCCATCCGGGTTGGTTTTCCAACTGATCGTCAGACATGGGTCCTGGGGCGTGATTTCTTTTGGTATCGTTATTTGATAGTTCATCGCGTCCTCAGCGTTCACATTGTTTTGAATGAGAAATACGGGTCGTTGCGCCACAGTCCCTTCAGTTTCCGGCTGCTTGTTTACTGCAAAGTTGAGAAAATGGAAATATGCGCTTTCTAGAATTCCATCAATTCTACTTACATGGATGGCTCCATACGCAGGCGAGCATCAGCATCAGCAGCAGCAGAAGCTTGTGCAATGTTTTGTTAGATAGCATAATTTTCATGATTTAAATATATAAACAAAGCGCTAGAACTAAACGAAGCTTCAGCTTTGTTTTATATACTAGATGCTGCACGCGTCTCTATATAAAATGCGACTCGTATTATCAAGCAACGTCTTGAACCAGAGCAATCTCAGCTCGAACTGTTCGAGGTTCGAGCGATTCAGGCCGAGGGAACATAAACTGTAGCCGCTCTATCTCTCAGTTATTCTCAGTTATTCTCACATATTCTCTGAACATTACCTCACCTGGCTGAGCAGTTTAGTTTGTTTAGCTTATCGGGTCGTTGGGCTTGAATGAATCAATCGCTTCTATATGCATATAGTGTGAGTAGAGATTGCCTACTCAAGTTGTAAACAAAGCCCGGCCGTTGAATGTATCAATATCAATATGAACATGACGCTCAGCCATTGCTGATAGAGCACAGACCCAAACAAAGGAAAATCTGGATGGCATCCACTGAGGTCATAGACTGACTGACCACCTACAAACTGGGCAAGTATTTGTGTAATGCGGCAGTAAATAATTGCTCCACTTTTAAATATAATTGAATGCCTTTCATGCAAGTTGATAAATATAAAGCTTTAAATGCTTTTTATGACAGGGACTCATAATAAACATGAAATATATTTATTCATTTTAAGAGTTGTTGAACTTATTTAAGAAATGGGTAAGTTCAGCAAAGATTATTATAATTTGTCACCTAATGCGTAACGCAATTAAAAAAGGCGTTTATAAACATACTTGTCGTAACTTTGTAAAACTTTAATCTCTATTCTTTGGATAAATCTACTGCATATCTCATATTTGTTCGCAAGGGTATTATAAAGCAAACTCTCAATTTAGAGACCTTTCACTTATGATTTGCTCTGTTCTGTTCATAAAATATCCTCAAACCTAAATAAAACTATTCAAGCTAACAAATAATATTGAGATATTATTTTGAAAAACAAAATATTTTAAGTTCGAAACTTTTATAAATTCAAAATATGTGTAAGCTTAATATAACAGTTACTTTAAACTGCTTGCTTGAGTTGACAGCTTGTAGTAAAAACACACTGCTTGACCCTATTGTGCAGCACTGCTTGTCTTTTGTATTGTTAGTATTTATTAAATACAATATTGTCGGATTTGGTATTTTATATTATTGGCAATTTGGTTAGTCTGGATGCTTTCCAGGCTAAGGCAATATTTTTCAAATGAGAAATTGTATAACGGTTTTTCAAATAAACATTTTTGGGAATAATGTATTTCACAAAGAATGAAGAAAAGCCTAATATTATTTTAAAAGCGTTCACTCCAGGTGAAGGCAGGCTCCTTTTATATTCAAAACCTCAACGGCTTAATAAAAGGGACTATCTAATCTTAATTAATTAATTAGGACTAAAGATTAAAATGTGAAACAATTAAACTGGCAGATCTGCATTAGTCCGTAAGTACTTCGCTTGAATGACCCAGCTAGGTAAAGTGTTGTATATACATATACCTACGTATATATAGATATCGTTATGACTTATAATATCCCTTTCTTAAGTACCAAGTCTAGTGTATAAATATTTTAAATATTGATCTATGGTTGATCTATGGAAAATTCTATACAAAAAGAAAGAAAACCAAAAAATTTACTTATAAAACCAAAATCATTATTTGCATTTAGAAAAATGTTCAAAATATTTGTTCTACAAAGGGATTATTTAGTTATTGCTGAATATGAGTGAAATTATATTAAGTAACATGGTAGAAGCACATGCTCAATATAGTCAATTAGCCAGACCATTAATTTCTCAAATGTTTCATACGTAAAACTCTCAAATCAAGTCAATTTTGGCTTTTTTTTCTTTATTAATAGTTTATATTAATTTGCATTTAATTTATTTTATCTGTAACTTACAGCAAAAAACATTAAACGTATTTTTAAACAAACAAGCTTAATTGTAGTATGTATTTTTATGTGGTAACTTTAGCAACAGTTGTTTATATTTTACATTGCAAATTAATGAAATCTATATCTAAATCGATACAAAGTTGTTAAAGTATTCTCTATTTGATTTGTAGCATGTGTAGGGACTGGGCATATGTCTTAAGGACACTTGAAGAATGGTTAACAATATATTTAATAATATATACCAAACAAAAGGTCAAATGGAAATTAAATTAACTACTTTGACTTTGCCCTTGGACGGAAACCGTTGCTTACAAAATTCATATAAAGAATTTAAATGAAAATTAGTTTCTTCCTTTGTTTAGAAAACATTGCGGCATTGTGTGGAAGACAAATGAAAACAATTTGTTTATGCAAATATTAATTCATTTTCTGATTATAAAAAGAAAATCCCGAAACTTTTCCATTGGTTTTGTGTTTCTTGAAGTGCCGTTTTGTGTTGTTGCTACATTACACAGTCTTTGTAATTGTTTTTGTTATCGTTCTTATTTCAAATTGATGCTCTTGTCGAAAATCGTATCTGTTTGGGAATAATTGCCCCAAACCCCCCATTAAACCTCCGTGCTGTGCGTTTGAATGCGCACCTTTTTCACACTTCCATTGCGTCGCATTGGCGGTGAGCTGCCCGATCCGGAATATCCTGGATTTTGTATGCCCAGCGTTGGATCGGGCCTTGGACGTGGCTTTTTGAGACTGGAGCGCAGTGGCGAACGGGTCACAGACTCCAGCGTGGAGCCATTCGAAACGCTGGTTACGGTGGTACTCATAGAAGCCACACTGCCGGCAGTTCCAGCTCCATTTCGTATGCCGCTATATGGCTTTCCCGAGGCGTCTGTCACCGAGACGCCATTGCGGCTGCGGGGCTCTTTAAAGCCCGGATTGTTGAAGGTGGTGGCACTAGCCGGCGAAGAAGCGTCCAGCGCCATTGTTGGATCGCCACCAGAGCTGCGCGAGAAAATGACGTCATACAAAGCGGCAACAAACAATGCAATGGTCAAGACAATCGCAACTATCTGCAAGCCGAAAATTATTGTTAGTCAGGCAAATCGATCACAGATAATAAGCTGAAGTGCTCACCTGTAGATAGAAGGAGATGCCACGCGATATTTTGAAACCGAAGCGCTCCTGTTCATCGATTTGCAGTGCAAACAGCACTGTGGCTATTATTGCCAGAAAACCTGCCAACGCAATTAATTATACTAATTAGTTATTCCTGACAGGCACGCCTGGCAATAACTTACCGCCCAGCAGGGCCAATATGAGTTTGACAATGACCAGCGATGTGTAGGACATGACAACCTTCTCCCGCGACGATATCATCGCGTGCTGAATGACTGACAATATGCAAAAGATGCCCAGCAGCGCTGAGCTGCCAACTGCCAAGAGTCCGCTGACAAAAACCGCATCTGGATAGAATGAGATATTAAATTTATTAAATGCTTAATATTGTCAGCAGAAGGGCTCTTAGAAATCTGATTGTAGATAAGCTAGTCCTACTTTAATTGGGATTTATAAAGCATAATAATCATAACTAAAATCCGCTATAACATGTTAAGCCAAGTTTTACAACTTCAGTTCAAAGAAGTTAAAAAATTGCTTTCTGAGCCGACGCGCTCGTTCGAACCGTGAATAGACTTTGAGATTGCAGATGACCAAAAGAAGAAAAGAAATAAACTTAAAAACGTTATTTAGGCATTGATGCAAAGGATTACTAATGTACTTTTTGAGCTTTTATGCAACTGTATGTTAAAATCTCTTTCGTACTTAAGTCTCTTTCGGTTCTAATAGTCTGACCTAGGATAGATAAAAAATTGTACTTACTGCTCAGCCTGAACTTGGAGACGTCGTTGCCGCATTTCTCACGATTGTAAGTCAGTTGCTTGCACACTTTGAAGGGGCCAAAATAGCCGCGATCGTAGTCATAGCCACCTGTGGGGAGAGTGTCAGTAATAGAGATAAATGATAATTGAAAGTCAATTGGTACTCACCCGACGGACTGTCGTAGTAACCCCAAATGGGTATGCCGATGGCGACAGATGCCAAGGCAAAGCACACAAACCCCAAACAGGTCACCCCAGCAACATAAAGTGTCGACGTTGCCATATTTTACTGTACAGCATAACGAAGACGATGACTTGCTAGTGTATGCCCGCTAAAGACTGAGATCCAGGGTATCAAAGAGCCAAAGTGCTGCAAAGAATATGAGAAAAACATAATGCGACAATAAGTCAAACCAATTGCTTAAACATTCTTCAGTTTCAGCTGTAGCAAAATATTTCTAATGCAAACAATATTCTCTTCTTCTTGCAGAGCGTGTCAATTAAGAACAGTATATTGTCATATATGGCATGCCAACTCGGTCGATGTTGTGGGTTGTGCTCAATGAGGCTCATTCTCAGCTCATGATGTGTTAACTAACTAGCCAATTTGGCTATTTATGCACCCATTTCGCAGTCCTCACCTGATTAGCTTTTGGCATTTTCTTGTTTAATGTGAGCACAATGCAATCCAATATTTGGCATTGTGATTATATATGTAAGTAGCAGCCAGTGGCCCACTTGGCTCTTCCTCAAATGCACATAAGTCTTACAAAGCCCATGAGTCGGTTGTCAGCGTCAAGACGAACAATTAGATCTCATTCATACACAAAGAGCTACTTGCCGCTGACCTTGAAATGCGGAAAAGCTTACGCAGAAGTGGCTCGTTGTGTGATATGGAGATGCCTCGATACACACGTATCTGTGTGACGGTGTGTGCTGTATGCAGTATGCTGTGTGTGTGTGTGTCTGTGTGTGGGTGGGGTGTGCACCCAACAGATATTTGTACTTAAACTGCCAGAGAATGGCACAGTTGTCTCAATTCTGTGACATTTTTAGATGCATGACAAATATTTGTGCTTTTAAGTAAGCCGTTTAAATAATAAACCGATTTCCTGTCATTAAATGCCAATTACAAGCAACAAAAATGTATCATGTTTCAGTGTCAAACTATGTAAGAATAGACTTTTTCCTGATTGAATGAGAAGAAGACTAATAGGCTGCAATTTTTACAGAAGTTGCACCAACGAAGGGCAAGTCGCTGGTTCAGCTTAACTTGATATTATGCATAAACACATAAATTTGGTATATTTAACATAAATGTATCAAGTTTCAGTGTCAAACTATGTAAGAACAGAGTTTTTCCTGATTGAATGAGAAGAAGACTAATAGGCTGCAATTTTTACAGAAGTTTCAAGCGTTGAACCAACAAAGGGCATGTCGCTGGTTCAGCTTAATTCGAAATTATGCATAAACATTTAAACTTTGTCTATTTAAGAATGTGCGGCCTCTATATATACCCTATGTGCCATGTTATAGTCAAAATTACTGACAAGTGTATAAAAGAGAAGTTGAAGAAGTTGAAAAATTACGATTTTTTATCCGCCTGAAGTTGAAGCTATCGCATTTATCGCTATAGAGCCTTATAAGCTACAGTAGCATAATCAACTCACTAATGAACTCAGTTAATGTCGACCCAAAAGGGGCGTTAAACAAAACATTTTTATTAAGTTCTTCAACTTTCAGTGACATAACGCGGCGAGCATAACGAAAAACTAGTACGAAACTTAAGATGACAGAACCGATACAGCAATAGAGACAGCGCCAAAAACAAACACGAAGCGAAGAGTGCCAAGAAATAGTAGTCTTTGCAGCCGGGCGGGTTGGGTGTCCAACTTCAAGCCGGCGTCGCTGTTTGTTGCTCTTAGCGGTAAATAGAGAACCTGAACCAGACAGCCAACATCATCAGCGGCAATAAAGTGAATGCAAAAAGTCAGGCGAGCTTCTTAAATTACCCGGCGAAAGACACGCCGTTGGTTCTGCTTCTTGGTTCGCCGGCGGCTGGAAGACCCCCCCACCCGGTCTATGGTCGCTTGAGTGGAACCATGAGCTATAATAACTGTGCGGCGTTCTACTTAGCTGAGGGCAGGCAACAGGTTGTCGAAATTCGAAAGGTTCGCCGCTCTCATGCCATGGAGATTTGTGTATGCCACATGAGCATATGACAAGTTGGCCCCCATGGTCAGATCGATAGATCAATAGACCCTGCCCTGCGGCCAGCCTTACCCATGGCCCATGGCCAGCTCTTCCCTGACTCAGTTCCCGCCAAAGTCAGCCAATGAACTTTTCCCAATTGTGTCACGACTTTCAACTTGCATAAATTTCCAAAGTCCCCTTCTGAAGAGACCGGACCATGTTAGCTCCTTCGACTTTGGCTTTGGCTTTGTGTGGGCAACGAGGGCAGTTTATAGCGCTGCTAGCCATTGGATTTTCTTGTTCTTTTTGTTGCTGTTGGTGATCCGCGCGTGATTCAGAGGTGCCGTGCATACATTTATGCTTATATGATTTACACGCGGCGCGTTGGTGTCAAGCCACCAAGCGGCAGAGAGTGTAGGAATATAGGTGGCAAGAGCCGAGGTATGCCAAGTAGATGCTGCTTATTGAGTAGCCAACACGTTTTCAACCGTTTCGGCCAAGTAATTGTCAGCGGGCCGTCGGCTACGCTGCCGCCACTTGGCAGCAGCCACATCGTGTGGGTTGCTTTTGCTGTTGGTGTCGTGTCAGGGACAGCATTCAGACGCCCCATAAATTATAGCCTACATTAACACGAGTACATCTCCAAAAATAGTATCTTGAATACACGTATTCTTTTATCCTGATAAGCCTACTTAATTCAAGCTACGTACATGATTTTCCAAGAGTTTTCTTTGCGCTGCCAAAACCATGAAAAATCCCATTTAACTCATTGCTTTAAACAAAAACAGAAAATCAATTAACATCCATTTTCATCAGGTCTTAATTAAGTAGCGCCAGGGCAACAGCCCCAAAAAGCCAAGGAATAAGCAAAACAGTCGTCACTTAATCAAATGCGCCAAATCTGTTAGCCAAGGCGTACCGAAAACCGAAGCCTATATAAAAGGTAACTTAGACTAATGAAAAGTCGCTTTTCCGCGGAAATTGGGTCAGCAAATAGAAAAAGGCAGGCAAACAGGAAATTTACTTCAATTTGTCGGTCTGCCTGGGAATCAAATGGCAAAACGTGTCGCGGTCGCGAGACTCGCATTTGGACGCCGCGCCGACTCCGACTCCGACTCCAACTCGGACTCGAAGTCGAACTCGGACGCGGGGTTATTACTTGTATACCATTCAAATGGGGCGCAACGTCTAACCTAGAAGGCTTCGTTTGCCGTTGCGCCCCGCCTTATGCCTAATGCATTCAGCCTAAAGCTATTTATTGATTTTCGCCAGAATCGTGCTCTGTTTATTGTTTGGTTTCAGTTGGCAACGCGACTTGGCCATTGTTTATGCCTCCCAGCCCGTGTGCCCAACTGCTTGCACTTGTTGCCATGGCAAAGTGCACAAACTTTTTAGGCCACAACACCCGAGCAACAAAAACAACAGCAGCAACAATGGCCACATCCAAGCATTGCTTGGAAAACTTCGCAAATTGGCAAAATTGGTAAGAGTCAGCTTGCGGTTATTTGGCAAAACACTTTAAGGTTCAAAGAGCGAGCCTTAATATGCAGCAGCTGCTTGACAAAAGCTGCTCGTAATTGAGTTACGCAGCAGCCAACTTCATCATTTCTCATTACATTGTTCATGTTCCTGAATCGTTATATACTTATGCAATGTTGCCAAACTTCAGATTTAGGATTTGTTCTCTGAGAGGAAGCCTTAGTTGAGGTCATGCCTGTGTTTCATTTTATATTTGTTAATAAATCTCTGACCGTTAATCAGCCGTCATATCTCCAGTTCCATCGACAATTATACCTACTTAAGCATGGTTGCCAAACTTCACAGTTAAGATTTTTTTTCTCTGAATCTCACAATTCGGTGTTCCATTTAATATTAATTAATAAATCTCTGACCGCTAATCAGCCGTTATATCTCCAGTTCCACCGACAATTATAGCTACTTAAGTTTAATTGCCAAACTTCAAATTTCGGACTTATTCAACCAGTATTGCCTTCAATGCTTATGCACTGTTGTCAAACTTCACAAATCGTATTTATTTTCTGAGAAATAGCTCCAGCTGAGGCGTTGCTAAACTTCACTTGGATGTGTCGCACTTATTGTGAACTAATTTATCATCTCTTACCAATAACTGGTCAACATATTTCCAGTTCCATCGTCTTTATCATCTGTACCTAGTTTTTAGTTGGAACAAGCCGTTATATGCTTATGAAATGTTGCCAAACTTCACCTTGCACTAAATATTAACTAATAAATCGTCTTAGAACGCTAACCGGCCGGCTTCTCTTCATTTTAACCGCCTTTTGCAAATGTTTTTAGTTGGGTAGCTCGTTTGCTCGCACAGACAGCAGAAAAAATTATGGCCAGAAAACCGTACGCCGTTCGTTGAGCGAGCAGCCGGGAATCATTAGCTATGCATCGACATGGACACGTTCTGCTAATTCTGCATGTGTTTGTTTGCTTGTTGTTGTGTAGCCTGCATTTAGCATCAGAGGAAACCGAAGAGGGGCTAAGACGTCAAGGCGCAACCGCCGCCTCGCTGCACTTTCTATTTGCCAAGCCAGCGAACCGTGTGCCGGCGAGGCTGGAGCCGCACACACGCGTCCCCAATGCATTGGCCACTTTAGCTAATGACTTTATTGAATCGACTGAGCCGAGCCGAGGCCGGGCATCTCTTGACTCTTTGTGTGACTCTTGCCTATCAAGCGCAAAATTAGCGCGGACAAATTAAATGAAAAGACAACGGGCCACCAGCGACATTGTCATCGTCATCACCATTATTATTATCATTATCATCAGCCAGGGGGCCAGGGTGTTAAGCAAGGCACTTTGGGTGTTCTCAATTTCATAAATTGTGTTAATACGTGCATTTGCAAAGCTCACACATACAAATCTAATCGATAGGAGTGTCCTATAAGGGAGAATATATAAAAGATCTATTTATGAAGAGGCAAAACTTATTATTTATATTAAGATTAACAATATTATTATTATTATGGGATATAGTTACATACAAACAGCACAGGCGACAATGAAAATCCTACCTCCATACACTAGCCTGAGTTTCGAGCCCGAAACCTCGTTGTTCTCTACCGAGAACTGAAACAATCAAAACTTAATTAAATGTAACTTCTTAGCATTGCAATAATGAAGCTGAGGCTTTCTTCTGGGAGCGTTTTT